CCTCTGCTTCCCAAAGGAGGCCTGGAGAAATCAGAGGGCTATGAACCACTCTGGGATCGTAAGCAGCTCTGTTCTGATGAGGAGTGGGCAGGGCCAGAGGGACATATCCACCCCAGCTCCAGGCCCCCGCGCTCTGCAGGCTGAGACCCCGGGAGGAGAGAGACAACAAGAACCAGGTCCGCTCACCTCCAGCCTGGCCTCCAGGTAATCCCGAACATCTCGCATATGAGCCTCGTAGGCCTCCCAGTTCTTGCTCACTAACTCTGCAGCCTGAGGAGAGAAAACCCAGACCGGCTCCATCAGGCATCTCCTGACACCTTCCTCCGTGCACAGCCCCCCGGCACGTGAGTCCAGCCCGGGAACAGCCTCTGCAATTGCCAGATCCCCGGAGTCCCCCAACAGCCTCTTGGTGCCTTGTGCCACACAAACTGCGTGACTGCCCACTTGCCAGGGCTGCAAAGCCTGCAGCAAGTGCTCCAAAGCACCTCCTTTGAGCGGCACCAGAAAGCCCCATCTCCCTTCCCGCCAGTTTACCCACCCTCCCACACCCCAAGTTTGTCACTTCTAATGACCGGGGAGTGCAGGTGGCTGTGTCCATGCTGACTCCGCCAGGCGGCACCCCCAGGGAAAGTTGCTCATCCATGACCATCACTGACTCACCTGGCCAAGGCCGGCGATCATTGGGGTGTTCTCTGTGCTGAAAGGGAAGAGGAAGCAGTGAATTATCATTTCTCCAGACCGGAAACCCCACCTCAGGACACAGACAATCCCTGCGTGGGACCCGTCAGCGCTGGCAGGGGGTCCTGGACCCTTCTCTGAAGTGGTTGGGAAGGGCGCAGTTCCACTCTGCGGTTTCTCCCACAGCAAAGCCTGCGCATGAGGCTCACACAGTTCCCGCACACAGATCCATGTCCCCCCCAAGGGCTGGCAGGGGACAGAGCTGCCATCTCAGCTCAGACCAAGTAGCCACACGTGGTCTGTCCACCAGCCCGAGGCCCAGCTCTCCATACCACCACCCAGACACCTTACCCCGGCCGGAAAGTTCTCTCCTGTCCTCCTCCAAAGAGCATGGGGTGCAGTGGGGTGGTGGTGCCAGGGCCACGCACGTACAGTGCACCAATCCGTGGGCCATAGAACTGTGGGGACAAACAGCCACAGGTCACTCTGGGGACACTGCCAGGCACCCCCTTCCTGTACTTCTGCCTTAATCCAAGTGCCTCCCAGTGCTGACCCCTGCCCATCTCACAGGCACAGGCTGCTGCAGAGCTGTCCCCCGCCCTCATCCTCCTCCTGCTCCCCGTTCCAAGCACATCCCCCTGACTTGCAGGAGCGTTGTCACCCAGCTGAAGACTGTCTTCAGAGCACTATCCACCGGAAGAACTTTGGCCACTGATGAGATATCAAGCTAAGGGGGGCACCCAAATTCTTCCTGGCACCCCAAGAGAGATGTCTTAGAGGGCAAACAGCAGCTGGACCACATGAACAGGGCCATACCTTGTGTCCCACGATGGTGAGGTAGTCCACCTCCAGCTCCTGCACGTCCACGCGCCCCTTGCCAATCATCTGCGCCGCATCTGTGTGCACCAGGATCCTGGGCAGCCCCTCCGCCTCTCTCCGCTGATTGAGGGCACGAACACGCCGGCTCAGCTCCGCAACAGGCTGGCGGGAGAGAAAAGGGTCACCATCCCAGGGACTGTCTGCTCCCCCTTATCAAGCACATTTTTTGCGAGGATGTCCCCACTCTGTCCCACTCGCTGCCCACAGACTCACCATGATGATCCCAGTCTCATTATTAGCCAACATGATGGAAACCAGGCAGGTGGTCGGCCGGACAGCGGCGAGGATGTCATCCACCTCAGCCCGCCCACTTCGTGGGGACACAGCCACGAAGGTGGCTTCTGCAAGCCAAGAAACAAGCCCTGAGGTTTGCTGGGAAGCCCGATAGCACCCAGGGCTGCCTGCGCCCCACTGAGCGGGCAGGAGAGCTGTGCGGGCAGCTGGCGTGCAGGCAGAGACCACCACAGCTCTTGAAATAAAATCATAGAATAGTTTGGGTTGGAAGGGACCTTTAAAGGTCATCTAGTCCAACGCCCAGCAATAACCAGTGACATCTCCAACTAGATGTCTCGCCCAACCTGGCCTTGAATGTTTCAAGTGTAGGATGCCAACAGGCTAACGCATGCAGCTTGAGGGAAGGGGGACACCATGGGGGCAGTCAGTGCCCTTTCCAGGGTGAAAGCATCACATCACGGAGCAAGTGGGTCACTGTCCCCCAGCGCAAAATCACCAGCATAGAAAAGCCCCCCTCACAAACCCCAGTCTGCGGCCAGACATCCTCGACCTGTCCCCTGCAGTCCCTCTGCCGCTCACCCGCTAGGCTCTCCTTCACCAGTCGCTCCAGTGGGAGGCGGATGGAGTCGTGCTCCACGCTCGACGTCACGATGTGCGGCGTCCCCCGGCTGTCCCCCGGCCTGGCCTGGTTTTCACGGAAGTGCCTGCAGGCAGTGTGGATCACCATGTTGTTGGCCTGGGGGGGAGAGGAAGGCAGAGGGGAAAATGAAGTCCCAGAAGGAGCGCGGCACCCTTCGTCCCCACCCTCCTCATCGCTGCTTGCTTGAGAGGAGGCGGTGGGCAGGGGTGCCTGGGCAGGGGTGGGAAGGGGGATCACCGCCCCGCAGAGAGGTGGTGGCTGATCCC